CCGATTTTTAATTATTTTTTGGCATTGACAAATGCCCTGAAAATTTACAGATATGTATTTTACATAATCAGTAACTCATTAAAAAGTTTTCAAAAAATAAGAATTTTTTTTAGGCCCTGAAATAAAGTGAAAACAAAAAGTTAAAAGTGAAAAAAAACAAAATAGTGAGTGGGCGAGCACGTTTTGACACCCCCATCTTGGACGATTTTTAATGTTTTTTTGGCTTAGCAGAATGGATTCAAAATTTATAGGCATTTAGGTTACATCATAGAGAACTCACGAAAAAAACTGCAGAAAAACAAACCTATGTTTAGGCCCCGAAAACAAATTTGGCGGGGGCCGAACCTGGAGGTGTTCGGCCCCCGAACGGGACCCCGAACGCCCGAATGTTCCGGGGCCAGCCCGGGGCCCCCCGAACATTCGGTCAGGTAACCCTGATAATAATAATATAATAATAATAATAATAACCATAATAATGACAAGCGCACCCGCCGTGGCTACGCCCGCGGCCAAGAGTGACAGATGCACCAGAAAGGAGAAGGAAAAAAGCAAGCAGGAGAGAACACAACAGGCACCTCTATCAACCGGTGATGGAGAGGGGAGAGAGAGAGAGAGAGGGAGGGAGGGAGGGAGAGAATGTGTGCGTGTGTGTGTGTGTGTGTGTGTGTGAGAGAGAGAGAGAGAGAGAGAGAGAGAGAGAGAGAGAGAGAGAGAGAGAGAGACCCTGTCAATGATTGATGGAGTTGGTGAACATTACGCTGTTTGTACTTCCACGGAATAACGACCTTAAGTTTGCATTCTTTTTTTTCTTTTTTTTTTCTTAAAAAAAGAAAAGCCATATTCTTCTCTCAATTTCACCTCACACTACCTACCTACCACTACTCCTAATTGTAGGCATACGGGGAACCCTGTAGCAGCCAGAACCGTGTTCACGAGAGGACATGCGGGGCCTGCTCCCGACCTGCAGGTGGGCGATACCGGCTAGGGGACAGCCGGTAGCACCAGGGACCATGCCAACAGGACCAATCCCTGTGCCTCCCCTCAGGTCCCCTCCCCTACGAACATCAGCAGACTCTGCTCAATGTCATTGTGACTGGGGAAAAGAAACAAAAAACAGGAAAAAAATTAATAATTTATTCTGAGAAGGCATGAGGGAAAACTGGATACGTGTAGGTAGAGGCGACGGAGCAAAACATCCCGTGCCAATCGGCTTCGGCAAAAGTGCGTTTTTTTTTTGTTTTGTTTTTCCCCCAGTTCCATAAAATTGCTAAAAACAGGAAAAGGTCAATAGTTCTCACCTTTACACGAGTTGGATCTGCCGTTTCTGTTGTGATTGAGGTCCAGGTCCAGGTCCAGGTCCAGGTCCAGGTCCAGGTCCAGGTCCAGATCCAGGTCCAGGTCAAACATATCCGGACATCCACAAACAAGTCCATGTGCATGCATCCATGCAGGCAGATTAAGGTTCAAAACAAGAAGTGAGATACAGCCAATCGATGTCCTAGGCAGATCCAGACTCAGGTCCAGGCAGATCCAGATCCAGACCCAGGTATGATGAACCAGGTTCGGGAAGTCCGCACCAGGTCTAGGAGGTTGGCAGCGACATGACCGGATTCAGGTCTAGTCAGACAGATCCAGGCCCAGGTATCCAATCGTCCCACAGGCATCCAAACAAGACGTACAAGGGTCCGAAGGTAGCTCATTCTCTTTTTTTTTTTTTTTTTTTTTTTTTTTTT